TAAAGTCACGCCAACTGCGCAGTGGAGTCAGTGCGGAGCGGAAACATTGTCCCTTGAAACCCAGTGACCAGTTGCCTCTCAGGCAGTTTGAATTCTAATTTTTAAAAACATTCTTCCTGGGTTTTCTTTCTCATCTTTGAAATCCTATTTTTTTCACCTCTGGGTTCTTCCTAGTTTCCCAAGTCTGTTGTGAAATAATTATGAGCATGCATTAACACTTCCGTGTGCCACACGCTGTGTCAGCTGCCGTCCCAGGGGGCTGTGAGGGGGCTGTGCGAGCTCAGTTCATCCTCCAAGAAACCTGGGAGGCAGATGCGTTAGAAGACTTTCTGGGTAGGAAGCTGAAGCGTGGTTTAGTGAAGTACTTAGCACAGTGGCCCAGCACTATGTGCAGAGTTGCCAGGTGGCCCAGGAAAGCACCTCCTGACCAGGCCCCGACCTACCTCCCATTCAGGGAACCCACCCCCTGAGGTCATCTGGCTTCACAACGGGAACGAGATCCAGGAGTCGGAGGACTTCCACTTTGAACAGAGGGGCACTCGGCACAGCCTGTGCATCCAGGAGGTGTTCCCGGAGGACACGGGCACTTACACCTGCGAGGCCTGGAACAGCGCCGGGGAGGTTCGAACCCAGGCTGTGCTCACCGTGCAAGGTGAGGCTGACCAGGTGCCGGGGCAGGGGCGGGAGGTGCTGCCGTGGTCTCTCCAAAAGCCGTCAGGAGGTGAGGAAGCCAAGTGAGCCTGCTGTGTTCCCATGATGGACCCCGTGCTGTCTTGGTCCCAGCCCAGCCCAGGGGCCAGCTCCTCACCCTACATCTCAGGTCTGGCTGAGTAGGGCCGCTCTTCCCTGCCTTTTGAAGTCCCTGCCCTCCCTGGGTTTCTGGTGACAGCCGCATAGAGTGCCAGGAGGGAAATCTCATGATACATGTAGCAAATTGGCAGTGATGGCTTTTGACATGAGTTAGGGGCTTATTGGGGTCCTCGCCTTTAGGGAGCCTCCATGTGAGAGGAGAGACCAGTTCATAAGCAAGTACAGATCTTCCTCATCACATCTAATGTGGATCATTGGTGCCCAGCCCAGTGCCCTGTACATCCTGGGCTACCTCCCCTTGCTTTGGATATACCATTCGTGTCAATATTATCCTCTGAGAATGTAACCAACACAGATTGGCCATAAGCAGAATGTGCTATATCTGTATGTCCAATAAAAGTGATTTCTGGACAAGCTGTTATTTGGGTAACATGCTGTCTTCCGACCTTCACCCCCATGAAGAGTTGAGTGGACGCTCTCTGCTGAAAGGCCTCCCTCTCTAACTCAACGCTTTGCCAACTTCCAGAGCCCCAGGATGGCACCCAGCCCTGGTTCATCAGCAAGCCTCGCTCGGTGACAGCCTCCCTGGGCCAGAGCGTCCTCATCTCCTGTGCCATCGCCGGCGACCCCTTCCCCACCGTGCACTGGCTCCGAGACGGCAAGGCCCTCTCCAAAGACGCCGGCCACTTCGAGGTGCTGCAGAACGAGGACGTGTTCACCCTGGTCCTGAAGAATGTGCAGCCCAGGCACGCCGGCCAGTATGAAATCCTGCTCAAGTGAGTCTGCATGTCCCGCCCCCAAGTTCCTACACCCTCCAACTTCCTGCCTGGGGCTGGGAAGCCAGAGGAAGCACAAAACAATGTGGGGCTGGGCTTCAAGGCGAAGAAAGTGCAGACTTGGTGCCGCTGACAAGCTTTCATTTCTTCCACTTCAGTACAGCAGACGCGCATGGAGAACCGTCCCTTCTGGGCTCCGTTCCCCAAAGACCTCTGTCTTACTACATCCTGGCTTCTGCTCCCCCATTATTTGGTGTGTGGAGAATATGAAGGAGGGAAGAATGGATTAAAATTGGAAAAGCAGGAGGTAGAGGGAGTATATCAGTTATCTCTTGTTGTATAACAAATTACCCCAATACTTAGCATCTTTTTTAAAAGATTTTTAAAAATTGATTTTGAGAGAGTGAGGAAGGGAGAGGGAGAGTGATCCAAGAGAGAATGAGCTGGAATCTGCAGTGTCTTTTATGGCTCACCCTCAGGAGTCTCACACCGTCACTTCTGCCACATTTTATATTGGTTAGAAGTGAGTCGCTCAGTACAGTTCATACTCAAGGGGAGGAGAATAAATTCCACCTTTGGAGAGAGGAGTATCAAAGAAGCCATAGACATTTTCAGACTGCTGCAGGGAAGTTAACTCTCCCCATTCCTTTTTTCTCTCTTTCAAGGCCTTTCTAGGTTACACGGGAAGGTAAGCTCCCTGAGGGCACACTGCCATGTTCCCAGTGCCTAGAACATGTCTGGCCCATAGTCAGCATGTGGTCACTGTCTGGTAAATGAATGTGATCCAGAAATGTTCTATTTTTTTTAATGCTCTAACTCTTCACATGCCATGCCAACCCTGGGTGGATGGAGGCGAAAAGCCAGCCCCTCGGGGGTGGTGTGAGCGCTGAAGGAGAGCGCGTGTCTGCACCTTGACTCTGTGAATAGGAGGTTGTGCCACACCCCGAGGATGCTTGGACCTGCCTGGCTCAGGTGCTTGGCCACTTGGTCAGAGGGCTTGATGTCCTGGACAAATCGTTTCCCTCTACTGAGCTCATCATGTTTAAGGCTCTGAGCTACAGACAGGCTCGGTAGCTGCACCCCACGGCCACGGCCACTGCCACTGCCACTGCCACTGCCAGGATGGAGTGCTGTCACTATCATAATCACAGCACCTGGCATGTGCTCTGGGGTCCTTCCCGCACATGTGCTTTCTACCTGTATCAGGTGGCTTTTGCTGCCTAACAAACCATCCCATTACTGAGTGGCTTTGAGAAGTAGCCATTCTTGTGTCTTGGGAGTCTGTGGATCTGCTAGGAAGTTCTGCTGATACTTAGGTAGGTCTCAACAAATCTCAGCCAAGCTAATGACACATCTGTGGACAGCTGATAAGATGGCCGTAGGCTGGCCAGTCACCCTGCTAGCAGCCATTGGTAGTGTGCCCAGACCCACTAAAGCCTTTGCCTGGTGCCTGAACCAGTTATTCTAAGGAAGGCAAATCTGCATCCAAAATAGGAAGAATACACACTCTTCCTCTCTCCTAGGTCAGTACAGATCATGGAAACTTTATATGTGAGAACAGAGCTTGTCTGTATGGAAGGAGTAGTGCTTTGAGGCAGTTACTCATGTCAATCAAACCAGACATCCGAAAAGAGATGAGCTTTGGGGGGCCTTTTGAGTAAAACAGGCTGAGGCTTAGCAACTAAGTAAAGGGCCTGCCTGCTGAGGGCCTGTTGGATAGGCTGAGCAAGAAAGGGTAGGAAGCCGAAACCGGTTTGGCTCAGTGGATAGAGCGTCGGCCTGCGGACTGAAAGGTCCCAGGTTCGATTCCGGTGAAGGGCATGTACCTGGGTTGCGGGCACATCCCCAGTGGGAGATGTGCAGGAGGCAGCTGATCGATGTTTCTCTCTCATCGATGTTTCTGACTCTCTATCTCTCTCCCTTCCTCTCTGTAAAAAAATCCATAAAATATATAAAAAAAAAAATTAAAAAAAAAAAAAGAAAGGGTAGGAAGACAAGGCACGGGCAGTGGGAAGCCAGCCAGGCCAGCGTGGAGAGCTGCACTGGGAGGTCGGCAGGCAGACTGTCTGGGCCCAGCTGCGGACAGTCATAAAACTTAGACTGTCCCAGTTGGAAGGGACTTCAGAAGTTAGCTCGCCGCCTCCTCATTTAATAATGGGGGAAACTGAGGTCTCGGGGTCATGGACTTGCTCGTGGCCACCCAAAGGCCAGTACAGAGCCCAGATTAGAACCCTAATCTCTGCCTTGGAATCAGATGCTCTTTTGTTCCTGGTTTCTTCCAAGTGCACTGGGGACTTAGGGAACCTGGGAAATCGCACTGGAGTCCCCACCCCCGGCAGCCCTTGCCCCCTTTCCCTCCCCAAAGCCCAGTCTTTTCATCCCTTGGGGAGGCTGGTGCCCTGGCCTTGGCTTCGTCCCCAGCCGAGAAGGAGCGAGCCAGTGGAAAGTTCTCCTGGGGAATGTGTGCCAGGCCTGCCAGGGCCTCATTCCCCTCTTGCTTTTCTCATCCTGACAGGAATCAGACTTCAACCCAGGGCAGAATGCCTTTCAAGGAGGAACTGGATGGCTGGGAGGAAGAGGGGGTGGGAAGGCTGGGGTGGGGGTACATATGGTGGGTGGTTTCTAGCTCCCCTTCCCTTCCCTAGCTTTTCTCTCCTGAACTAAAAGGGGAAATGTCAAAAAGTGAGTTCCAAATTCCAGCTGAACTATTTAAAAGATTTTTGCTTCCCAAGAAATCAAATCTTTAAACGAATTTTGCCTATAAAAATCCATTCCAGAGGTGGGTGTTTTGGAGTAGGACAGGCCCCAAGGTGTTGTAGCAAGGAGAGGACTTCTTATTCGGGGGGTTGGGAGGTGGGGGCAGAAGGAGCTGTGTCCTTACAGGGTGACAGGCCCATATCCTCTGGGGCAGGGGCCTCATCCTTGGCCCCTGCACATACTTCTGACTGAGTATACAATGATACCAAAGATGGCCCCAAAGGCTGTTCCAGCTGGGAGGTTATCTGGGGTGGGTCCCAGGCAGCAGGCCTCTCTGATCTTTCAATGAACCATGATTTGCCTTTAAGGCCTGCAGAGATTAAAGTTTATTGCTGCAGAAATAGTGACCCCCAGACCACCTCTAGGGATGATTCACTTGGTGGGCCAGCCGTGGGAATCCCAAGTTCTACACCCCCTACCGGCCCCCCAGACTGCCCTGGGGGCTTTGAGTGAGGCCTGGGAATGGGCTGAGCAGCAGGCTGCCTGTGCTGCCCTCCTTGAGGGCAGGGATTGGCAAACAACAGGACCCCTTACCTGTGTCCCCCCACAAGGAGACAAAGCTTACTCCAGCTCAGTTAAAGCTTCCGAGGAGCGTGGCTGGGGTAGAGCAGGGCCATCTGGTCAGTATCTGCTCCTGGTTTCTGCATCTGGCCTGCGTTCTACTTGTGACAAGAGCAAACTCAGTGAAGGAGATGTTGAAAAGGGCTCCCAGGAAACATGGCCCTTGGGCATCCTGTCCTCCTGCTTCCCACCAACTCCGGGCGCCAACCCTGTGCCTGAAAGAAAAGTGGGAAAAGGACGGCCTAATTCTGGCCAGCAGCCTGGCAGGGGCTGGTCCTCCGCCCAGAGGAACTCCCACAGTTATTCCTCCGGTTGACCCAAGTCCTGTAGCCTTCTGTGTTGAGTGTTCAGGGTGCTGTGGGGGCCCCTGAGCCTTCCCAGGGCCTGGCACCAGGGAGGCACCTAATTGCTCGTTGTTGAGCAAAGAAGCACCCTGGGCTGTCGAACTCTCCAGACATGAGGCTTCTTGAACCTTGAGTCCGTGTCCCCTGAGAGGAAGCCTTGAGGAAGGTGGCCCAGAGAGGACCCAACAGATAAGAGGAGGAAGGGGGCAGCAAAGATCAACCTCTCTTTCTTTCAAATGGGTCCTAGTACCGGGGAGTGAGCAGCAACCCCCAGCAGCCCTGAGAGTCCTCTGCCATACCATGGGCTGCCCCTGTCTGACCCAGAGTCGGCCCTCCATGGGGAGGGAAACTGGGCAAAAGGTACCCACATCCGTCAGCAGAGCTCCGTGAACTCATGTTCAGATGTCTGTTCATGTGGGGTGACTGGTGCATGGGCACATGTTCCCAAACACGGACCTGCAAGTGCAGGTGCCCACCAGGTCGACCCCACATACATGCGAACCCGTGCGTGTGGCTGACCTATACATATGCACATAGACGCGCACACGCACACATATCCCGGAATAGATTTGTACTGATGAGCACTGTAGAGTGGGGTAGGAAGGTCACAGGTCTTGGATTTAGGTAGACCCATGTCCCAGTCTCTGTGCCCGCTAGTTAGCTCTGTGGGTTTAGGCAAATTACTTAACCATCATAAGCCTCATTTTTCCTACCTATAAAAATGGTGCTGACCCCAACCTCACAGAGCTGTCATAATATTAAGTGAGATGGATTATGTGAGGAACCTGTCGCAGAGCTTGGCACACCTGTGCTAGCAGGTGAGGCAGGCTCAACCCCTGAAGGGCTGGTAAGATGGTTGTGTGCAGTGGGATGTGTGGGACACCCCAGAACCCCAGCACTGCCTCACAGAAACTCCTGAGCCTCCTTTCCTTGCCTTTCAAACGGACACAGTGGTTCTCTATGCCTCACTGGGATGCTTGGGGACAAGAACGAGAACAGATGCGACATGATGAGAGCTGGAGGGTGCTGTATAACATGGGTGTTTATCACCATGAAGCCTTTGGCTTTCAGACCTGCCTCCACCCCTTCCACCGGCAAGCAGGACCTCTTGGCTGGTCAGAGCTCAGAAACGCCAGCAGATGGCAGCCTTGTGGGGCTGGCGGGCTGAGCTGCTGCTCCATGTCCTCCAGGCACCCAAGCTTGGAATAGCCCCTCTGCTGAGCAGAAGGGGCCCAGCTGGTCACCCACCAGCTCCGAGAGACTGAACAGTTTTATCAGCGGCTGGAGAATCCAGAGCCCCATCTGAGGGAAGAAGAGAGAGGGCCACCCATTAGGGAGACACCTGCTAGGTTTCAATACAAAAAGTTCTGACCAGAGGGCATTAGCCAATGAGTACGGATTGGAGGGTGTTTTCATTTCTTGAGCAGGCGAAGGAGAAGTAGTGGGGGAGGGGGGCACTGTAGAGGAGAGGGAAGTACCCAGCTCTGTATTAAGGGAGCACAGAGTCAAACTCAAGGTCACTGGCAGGCTGACCAAGGCCGCACACTCTAGACCAGCGGTCGCCAGCCGTGAGGCCCGAAAGGTTGGCGACCGCTGCTCTAGACCAAGCAGCTCCATCATGGCCGCCATTAGTTTAATCTTTACTCTTCTTTTATTGATTGAGTGATCTATTGATTGAATTATTTTTGCAGTATACTTACAGAAAAGTATTGCTACTTCTGGATGCTTATCTTAGCTGTTGTCCAGAAGATCCTGGTTTGTTTTTGTTTGTTTTTTTCCTTTTTAAACAAGAGCTGGGAAAATAAAGGGTGAGCCAAGGAGAGGGGGGTAGGGCCCTGCCCTAAGTCTAGGGCTGGGGTTGGCCTGTTGGGGTCACAGCTAAGCCTGTGGTCCCATCTTTCCTGGAGCCAGCAGCCAGCCTGTGGTCAAGTCCTGCCGGCCCTTCCCTCATCGCGGCCCGAGAAGGCCCTCAGCCGAGAGCCTCCTGATCTGTACTGACCCCTTGAATTCCTTAGGAACCGGGTTGGCGAATGCAGTTGCCAAGTGTCACTGATGCTACAGAGCAGCCCTACCCGAGCCCCCCAGCGGTGAGTGCCCCCCAGGAGCTGACTGGCCAGGTCCCATGCCACCACCCACGCACCTTCCTCCTGGCCCCTGCAGGCCCAGCCCAACAGTCCCAGATTGTTTGTGTCCTCGGGCTGGGCTGCCCAAGCCAAGAGGGAGCGATTGGAAGGCGAATGAGGGAGGGAGAGCAGGGAGGGGGTGAATTTCTCTTTTTTTTTTTTGCACACACCCTTATAAGGCTACTGAAGTCATTACCGATGTAACAAACCAACTAAGCAAGCAGGCTCCTCTCACCAATGTTCCCTTCTATAAACACAGCCTGGCCAGCCCCCACCATTCCTTCCCCTCCCCTCTACCCTGCCTCCCTCAGGGATTTGCTCTCCCCTGACGTCTCTTTTTCACCCGGCCCCTTTTCCTCCTGCTGCTTTCCTTTTTCCCCTCACTGGTTGCAGGGGGAGGGAGCCTGCCAGCTGTGAGGGCCTCTGTGGCCAAGGAGTTGGTGCTGGTGGTGGTGATGGTGACTGCTATGGGACCCTGAGGCCTAGCTGGCCAGCGAGAGGGCAGGGTTGGCCAGAGGAGGAGGACGGCGAAGGCGTGCGGGGGGTGCTGAAGAGGCGCGTGGAGACCCGGCAGCACACGGAGGAGGCCATCCGCCAGCAGGAGGTGGAGCAGCTGGACTTCCGCGACCTGCTAGGGAAGAAGGTGAGCACCAAGACTGTGTCGGAGGAAGACCTGAAGGAGATCCCAGCCGAGCAGATGGATTTCCGCGCCAACCTGCAGCGGCAAGTGAAGCCAAAGACCGTGTCCGAGGAAGAGAGGAAGGTGCACAGTCCCCAGCAGGTTGACTTCCGCTCTGTCTTGGCCAAGAAGGGGACTCCCAAGACCCCAGTGCCTGAGAAGGTACCACCTGCAAAACCTGCCACCCCGGATTTTCGCTCAGTGCTGGGCAGCAAGAAAAAATTACCAGCAGAGAATGGGAGCAGCAGTGCTGAGGCCTTGAATGCCAAAGTGGCAGAAAGTCCCAAGGCTGTGGGCAATGCCCAGCCTTCAGGGCCCCTGAAACCTGTGGGCAATGCCAAGCCTGCTGAGACCCCGAAACCCGTGGGCAATGCCAAGCCTGCCGAGACTCTGAAACCTGTGGGTAATGCCAAGCCAGCTGAGACCCCAAAACCCTTGGGCAATGCCAAACCGGCTGAGACCCCCAAACCCTTGGGCAACGCCAAACCAGCCGAAACCCCGAAGCCCCTGGGAAATGCCAAGCCTGCTGAGACCCTGAAACCTACGAGCAATGCCAAGCCTGTTGAAACCCCCAAACCCTTGGACAATGCCAAGCCAGCTGAGATCCCAAAACCAGCTGGGAAAGAAGAACTCAAGAAGGAGGTTAAGAATGATGTGAACTGCAAGAGGGGGCCTTCAGGAGGCACAGATAACGAGCAAAGATCAGAGAGCCAAGGGACAGCCCCGACCTTCACGGAGAAGCTGCGAGATGTCCATGTGGCAGAGGGCGAGAAGCTGCTGCTCCAGTGCCAGGTGTCCTCTGACCCCCCGGCCACCGTCACCTGGACGCTGAATGGAAAGACACTCAAGACTACCAAGTTCATCATCCTCTCCCAAGAAGGTAATGAGGGCAGGGCTGGGGAGGAAGGGGCTTTTGATCGCTGCCAGCTCGTGGAGCCGTGGTCTTATTGATCAGCACTCATAGCCCAGAGCCTCTGTGTCCCCCTCCGACGCAGGACAGGTGCCCCACTCAGGGTCCGTGGGGGGGTGTGGGTGGGAGTCTAGTTCTATGGCGCATGCCCAGGTCTCGGCATCTGTCCAGCAGAGCCCTCTCCCAGTACCTCAGCAGCCCCCTCAGAGCACGGGGGCCTGTTCTAACGCCCCACAGCTCTTTCTTGGAGAGGGCTCTGTTCACAAGCTTGGAAATAGAGGCACTGGGTCCGGTGCCTCCCAGGAGCCCTGAGCTGACAGTTGCTTTTGCAGCAGCATTTTGGGTTTGGGGAAGGGTGTGCGGTGATGGGATGGCACAGGACTGATTTAGGGTCAGCAGCTGAAGTCTTGGTAACATTGTGGGTTTGAAGGGACCTGTGCGGGAGCCCAAAACTCCAAACATCCCCTATGGCACACACTCACCGGCAGACAGAGCTGCTCACTTCCTAATTTGGATGAGACTTTTGTTTGCTGCTAGTTCACATTCTTGAGTGGTGGGGAGAAGAAGGGGGGCTCTAAGTCTTGCCATCTGGGTCCTTTCGGGGTCTGGAGTTCTAGAGAAGTGACAGGAGTGAGGGGGTATTTTCCCTGGACCCTCAATTTGGTTTGAAGTGTTTTTGTAAATCCCAAACCTGGGAGGGAGCTCCAAGACCAGCAGACTCCCCACACCCCACTCTGGTGGCCAGCGCTAGAACAGGGTCTGGCCTGAGCGTGAGGCTGGTGCTGGTGGCGCTGGCAGGGCAGGGTACAAAGCTTCCCGGAAGTCACAGTCCTTTTACCCTGAGGGGCAGAGAGCTGCCACAGCGGAGGCCCAACTGACAGGTCCTGTCAAATCCAGAGCAGCTGAGGTGGCAGAAACATCCCCCGCCCTGCACTGTGCTGTTCTCCTCCTGTCCTCCGACGGCTCTCCACTCGAGGCCTCCCTGACCCCTTGATCTGCTTCCTGCCTCCCTCCTAAAACCCAGAGTGAAGCACCTGAAGATAGCAGTAGCCCCCTCAGCTCATGATGAAGCTCCTCTCTTCACGCTGCAGCTCAGACAGCAGGTCTGGAAGACCGGAGCATTTTGAATCTAAATGCTGACGTAGTAAAGGGGAAATGGGCCAGGAGAGAGAAAAATGTTGAGTTTTCTGCTGATGTGTTGACGGGATACCTTTTTCACAGGCGTAGGGCCATACTGGGAGGGTCCTCCAGAAGTCATCTCACCCACCCCCGCCTCTGCTAGTGCAGCCTGCACACACCGGGGCGTGGGGATTGCTGTGGTGAGATGTCCAGGGGATTGGATGCCACAGCCTCCCCTGTCACCCCCGTGGGCCCCTCTCGTTTGGAAAGTCTTTGGTAAAACTGATCCAGAGCTTTGATCAGCGGCATTTCCCTGTGGCGATCTCTCTGGGCAGCAGGGAGGGTGGTCAGCTGCCGCCCTTGGGACGTGTGTGCCCCACAGGCTTGCGCCATGTGATGTCCATGGCAGCACAACCTCAGGAGACGAACGTTCCGCCAGCTGAAGGCAAGGCACAAAGCTGTGCGTCTGGAACCTGCACAGCCACCAGCAGCCACTTACAAACAATCCACTCGACTAAACTGAAGAAATGAAAAGAAGGCCGGCACAAGGAGAAGAGAGAGAGAGACTGGGAAGGGGGTGGGAGGGGACTATGCAGACAGCCCTAAATCCAACTTTTAAAAATATTTTAAATATTTGTAATTCTCCTTTGAAAACTAAGAATAGCTGGCACTTATTGGACACTATGTGCCCGGCACTGTCCCAGACATCTGACACTTTTCACTCATTTAATCCTCACGACGACTATACTGCCCCTCTAACAGAGCAGGTAAGCACCTTGCTCAAGGTTGCGCAGCTAGTTCGTAACCGGGCCCAGATTTGAATGCAGGCAGTCCCGATGCCTAGACCACTATATGTTACCTCTAAGTTAATTCTTGTTAACACGGCAGCATGCTGGTGCAGCTGAGAAACCTTTCATGATCCATCAGCTCACCAAGAGAATTGTCCACCAAGGAAAAATGCTAATGGCTACTCCTCAGCACTGTCAACAGTGGTCAAGAGGCTGAAAGACTGGTGGTGCCCTCAGGCTCACCCAGTTTCTGGTAGTTTCACTGCAATGGAGGAAGCAGACCCTGAAACAGGCCTGTCTATCTGGCCACATAGAGAGAATGCCTTGTCTCAAAATACCAGTCCCACTTTCTTTCTGTCCACCATTCCTTCTTCAGAGCTTCACTCTCCAAGTCTTCGAGATCCTGGGCTAAACAGGGACCCAGGAGAGAGCCTATCTTAAAGAGTTCAGTGACCACTTCAGCAGGCCCCACTGCACAGGGTAGGTCCCTCGGAGAGCTGTGAGTGGACCTGCTATCGATAGAGAGGACGTGTGCTCAGTGATCAGACTATCCCAGTCAAGTGCCTCCTTCTGGGAGCAGGGCATGAGGAGAGGGAGCCGCGTGCTGGGGCCCTGGTGGTGAGAGAACTGGGCCTAGAAAGGAACCTTGAAGGTGGGCCAGGACTCCCAGCCCAGAAGAGGGAGGGTGTGGGTTTCCCAGGGAGGGGCACAGCAGGAGTGAGCACAGGCCTGCCCACAGCACGGTCTGGCTGTAGAGGAAGGCATGGCCTCATTCCACCCTGTGTCATGCCGACGACCTCTATTCCAAAGGCAATAGGGAGCCAGGAAAGAGTTTTGAATGAGGAGCAATGCACACCAAGCTGGGGTTTAGGGGGCTTGATTGACTCCATGCCCAGAGCCATGTAAGGGGCCCGCTGAAGAGGTCAGGGAGAAAGGTGGTGGGCCTGAGCTAACAAGGTAGACATGGGCACAGACAGGAAATAACCTGTTGAAGAAGCCAGGACAGAATTCACAGAACCTGTGGCTTGGAAGGGTGGGGGTAGAGGGGTAGAGAAGAGGAAGGAGTGGAAGACCACTGAGCGTCAGTGTCTGGGTGGCTGGGGTCACAGTGCGGGCATCAGTGGATATGGGAAGCTGTGGTTTGAGGTGGTTTGTAGGAGAAAATGGAGGCCCTTCTCCAGGCCCTTTAACCCCACACCATCCTCTCGCCCCCACCTCCTGACTTGGAACTCTTCTTGCTCCACTGCATGGAACCCTGTGCTGTCTTCTCTCCTAAGGTCAAGATTCACTTCCTCCAGGCTGCCTTCCGGGACTGTTGTGACTGGCCTTTGGCCACAGAGGCTCTTGTGCTCTCCTCCCCCTACCTCATGTTTGTCTGGGCACCAACCGCTAGTGGATGCTCTGTTTATAGGTTTCAGGGGGCTTCTCGCAACCTGTAACTGGGATAGGGCTCGTAGCCTGCAGGCCCCCCTAACAGGATTAAGTCAACCCCATTTGGTGCCACGGAGAGCAGAGTTGTGACCGCAGCCCAGTCGGTTGGAGCCCATTAATTTTTGGAGGAACATATGGAGGTGTCCTCCCTCTTCCTGCATCTCCCGGAGCTGCAGGTGCCTGGTGTTCAGGTACAATGCTGGGCCCGCCCTCCAGGCCCGTAGGGTGGGAGGCCAGGGAGCCAGGGGCTCTGTGCTGCTCCCCAGGGGCTTTCTTCTTTATGCCTTGTTCCTTTCCCCAGGCCAGACTTCTTTCCGGGCAAACATCTCTCCCAGTCTAATGACAAGGATTCATTTTTGTTGCTGTCGTCAACAATGATTCATTTTTTTAAATTGCCTTCAGTGTGAGATCTTGCAAAAGCTTTTTGAGAACTTCTGTAAGTTCATCCTACAAAAGGATTTATATAGCACCTACTCTGTGTGAGGCACTATTCTAGCCCTTTTCATTGTAGGCACAGTCCACTCAAGAATTCTGAGTTCGGAGGGGTTTTTTCCCTTTAAGAAACTGCAGGTATACCTTGGAAATGCTGTGGGTTCGGTTCCAAACCACTGCAGTAAAGCAAGTCGTAATGCAATCAGACAAGTTGTAATCTTTTTGCTGGTGAAGAGTCTTACCTTCAGTTTGTAAAAAAACAACAACAACTCAATACCTGTGAGGCGCAATAAAGCGAGGTGTGCCTGTATATTATCTTTTATTAGAGGCCCGATGCACGAAATTCTTGCAAGGGTAGGCCTTCGCAGCCCCGGCTGCCTCGTGGCCTTGCTCCCTGCCCACCCCCACCTTGGCCTGGCACTGCCTGTGTCTGCCACCACACACCCCCGGTTCCCTGGTTCTGCGGAGCCCCCCACACACACACACACCCCCAACCCCTATCGATTGCCCCACAGAGGGTGGCCTGGGCCTTCCTCTTTGGGGCGATCGTGGAGTCCCCCGCTCCATTGATTGCCCCACTGGCCAGTGGCCTGGGCCTCCCTTGGCCAGGCCATTGTGGGGCGATGGTGGGCCCCCCAGCCAATCGCATCGCACTGGCCTTGGCTGGCCTGGCACCAGTGCGTGTCATAGCATGGTCATCCTGAAGGTCGTCCAGAAGGTTGTCCGGATGGTCGTTCTGCTGTTCAGTCGATTTGCATTTTACACTTTTTAAAAATATATATTTTATTGATTTTTTACAGAGAGGAAGGAAAAGGGATAGAGAGTTAGAAACATCTATGAGAGAGAAACATCGATCAGCTGCCTCCTGCACACTCCCTACTGGGGATGTGCCCTCAACCAAGGTACATGCCCTTGATCGGAATCGTACCTGGGACCCTTGAGTCTGCAGGCTGACGCTCTATCCACTGAGCCAAACCGGTTAGGGCGCATTTTACACTTTTATTATTATAGATAAGGTAGGCTATATTTGATTAAATGTTCGTGACTTTCTTTTGTGTGAATCTTACCAGGTCACCTGCTACAGACATGCGCCTCTGTCATTCTCAGTTTGGCAAATATTTTTGTTACTGTGACTGCATTCCAGGCTCAGGAAAAACACTCATAATAACGGTGGTCACTGCCCTCCAGAGCCTGTGTGGGAGACAGACACCGGTTTCAGCAATGGTCTTGAGAGACCTGTTTTGATTCAGATGAGCTCAGAAGAGTCCATCTATGGCCTTAGGCAGCGCTTAGGAGTGACACGAGGGCACCGTCCCTGCGGAGGTGACTTGGAGCTAGTCGCTCTGTCCAGACATGCCAGGAGCCAGGCCCTGCCGACTGAGGCAGCCTCGGAGCAGAGTCTCCAAGGCTCCGGGCCGCGCCCTCCACCGTGCACACCCCTGTCCTCTCTGTACCCGCACACTCGGAAAGGAGCCAGGTGGGGATCTCAGACCCCATGACGGTGAGAGGCTCTCCCAGGGACAGTTTGGCTGAGCCATTCATTGGCCTCCTGGCTCTGTGGTAACCGCTCCCATCCCCCTCACCTCCCTCTCAGAATTCCCCACCAGGCTGAGGCTTCTCACAAAAACAGGCTGGGAACCGCTCTCCTTCTGGAGGTCAGGAATAAGCTGTCCCACAGGAAATACCAGATTCTTCTCTCTGAGCCTGCCCGGGGCCCTCCCCCAGCCCACGCATGTGGCCAGGGGTCCAGGCTCTAAGCAGCTGGAAACGCTGCATTGCCTGCTCTGACGCTTTCCCTGGTGCGGGGCGAGGGCTGGGGTCTAAATGCTCCACTTGTCCTGGTGGTCTCTCTACTGTCTTTGTAGTTTGTGCCATTTTTGGTTTAAGGCTGACGGCAGCTGGGGGACTGAAACCAAAAGGCAATCAAGGATTCGAACAGGATGTGCACTGGGAGTGGGTATCTGCTCCCAGAGCCTTCGTCTCAGACTGAGGGGAAATGGCAAGATGGGGTCTGTTTCCTTTAAGCTTCAAGTTTTGGGGCCAGAGGTCATCTCAGTCTTCTGCTGCCCCAGATAAATGGAAATTTCTCTCTCTAGAAGATAGTTAACCTCATTCCTCTATTCCTGTGCCTCACAGTTCATGGTCTCGTGATGAATGTCCTAAAAATCCAACCTAAACTCTTTCTGTGGCAGTTTCTGCAGATTCTGTGTCCTACAGTGAAAGAGATCCCGGCCCATTGCCCTCCCCTGGGGGAGAACTTAGTGAGGTCTTGCCAAGAGGCAACGTCTTATAAGCGGGAGGGGGGGGGGGGGAGGGTGCAGATCAGCCATCCTGCCTCAGGTGGTCAGTAGACTGCAGTTTCCTTGGGGTGGTTGTTGTTGTTGTTGTGGTAGTTTCTTCAAGTATAAGCAAAAGTTATTTGGAAAGTCACAGAGTTAGAAAAAGTGAGCCAGCTGGGCTGCATGGGCTCAGGAAATGGGCAAAAGAATGGCCCTTGGAGCTTAGGAGAGAGTGAGAGCAAAGGTGAGTTCTTGAAGGATGAAGAGGGAGGAAAGGTGCAGGTGCATGAGAGAGAGAGAGAGAGAGAGAGAGAGAGAGAGGACACGAACCGAGGTGTCCCTGTTTAAGGCAGACCCAGGCGCCAAGAAGTAAAGGGAACTGTTACAACTCTGCTTTCTCTCCCAGCCTTAGGGAGGCTCTCTGGGCGGAATTGGCATCATCCTTCCTCTCTCTGAATAGCCTCGTATTTGTTGGTCAAGTCTGTGCATCTGTCTGATCGAGGGGAGGGTACTTTTTGAGATCAAAGGCCTTTGACCTCCCTTCTGGCCATGCCGCCTACACACACACACAGCTCTGCCCACCCAGGGCAGTGGCAGGTGGCAGGGAGGTGGCCAAAGCCACTGCTCCAGGCAGCAGGATGCACGTGGCTCTGGCTTTGTCCCCCTCCTTGTGTGATGACTGCTCCCCTGACGGCAGGGGCAGCTTTGGACAGGACGGCATGCTCTTGGCTTGTTGTAAGTCTCAAGACAGGAACTAAGGAAGTGATTGCTGTCCTCCTACCTGGCCCGGCAGCCCAATATTCAGGGGATCCCCCAGAGAATGGCCTAGCCAAGAGAGACCCAGGATGGGTAAGGACCAGACCCCAGATGCCTGTGAATGCTCAGCCTGACTCCTCCTTCCCCCAACCAGGCCAGAAGAGGAGGAGTGTTGGGGCGAGGTAGGCCAGGTGAGAGTCCGTGGGGATAGAAGGCCATCTCTTCGGCTCTCTGGGGTGACCAGAAGGCCCAGCACTGAAGGGGGCAGCTCCAAAGTGCCCCTCAATTCAGATACCGTTCCTGAAAAGCCAGTTCAGGGTCCCAGGCAGATCTCCCCACAGGCCAATGCCCTGCTGGACAGGGACTCCTGCCCTCCCCCACCCACCCCTCTGTTCAGAACCCCTTTTTCTAAGATGCATTCCCAGAATCGCTGCTGTAAACTGCGCAAGCTCCCTCAGCGGCCACTGTTCCTCACACAGGTCTGTAATCACCTGCGCCGGCTACTGCTTATCTCTGGGTGAAGTCCCAGAAGTCCCAGGTGCGCGGCCTGTGTTAGATGGCAGAGACTATTTTTTTCCCTTCTTCTGTACCTTTTTTTTTTTTTAATGTCCTCATAAAAGAACTCTCTAGTATGTTTGGGGATCAGTTATTTGGGATCTGAGTTAGAAAGTGCCCTGGCTTTACTCGAGCTAGGGGTTGGTTCCCCCGGGCCTCTGACTTCTGGGCTCCCTGAGGCTGCCCATGTGAATAACACTTGCCTCCTGGGCTCCAGGTTCCAGGGCAGGTATTGGACCCATACCTGGTCCACTCAACCGTTCTTCCTCTTCCTCCCCAGGCTCCCTCTGCTCCGTCTCCATCGAGAAGGCACTGCCAGAGGACAGAGGCTTATACAAGTGTGTAGCCAAGAATGGCGCCGGCCAGGCTGAGTGCTCCTGCCAAGTCACTGTGGACGGTAGGTGGTGCCCACCCGTCGCCATCGCGCAATCCCACCTTCCACACGCCCTCCTCCCACCGCACCTGAGCAGAGCGGCACCAAGGCTGCCGTCACTATCCACGGCATTCCTTTTGTGGGTGTCAAGTCACCTTTTGCAAAAACACAACAGGAAGGAAAGTGGGAGGAAAGTCCCTCCTGCTTGAGGGTCCTGTGTGGCCTCAGCCCCACTCCTGGCTGGGAGGAGGAGGGGCTCACCTTGCTGCCACCTCTCCCCAGTCTTGGCCCCACCCCCAGAACCTTGCTGAACAGGGAAGCCGGGCACAGGGCAAGAGGAGAAAAGACACACCCACAGGAAAGTGACTGCAGAGGATTTTACAAGCCGCCGCAAACAAGTGCCCGGTGCTGGCAGGACAGCCCGTGAGGAGTAGGGAGCAGAGCGGGGTCCCTGTGGGGAGGCTGCGTGGAGAAGGTGAGTCGGGCTGTAGGGACAGGGCTGCCTCTGCAGGAAGGAAAAGGCACTAGTAGCACCGCAGAGGGAGGGGAGGAGACGTGGGGACAGGGAGGCCTGCCAGGTCTGCGTGGAGTTTCCCCAGTGAAGGGGCCAGACCAGCTGTGAGGAGCTGGATTGGTCCTAAAGGAATGCAGGCGGTATGTTTGTGACTTTGTTTCTCCTTCTGTGCGTGGTTTAGAACTAAAGATTCGGAAGCGGAACAGACCTGTGATGGTTCAGGCTACCACCTCCTTTTATAGAATAGAAAACGGAGGCCAGTCAGAGAGGGACAGCATCCTGCGTGAGCTTCCCTGGCCCCGTGGGGCCGGGCCAGGGCCGGAAGCCCACTCGAGACTCAGTCCCGTACCCTTTCTTTTTGTTATTTGCTTGGAACTGTTTAAAAACGTAGTTAGAAGAAAAACAATTTCTTGCCCTTGAAATGCTGGTTAGTAACCTTTCGTGGCACTGTTCAAACTAGTGTCCAGAGAAGGCGTCTGGGAGACCAGCTTGGCTGCTCTGAATGCTGAATGTGATCATTTGGACTCGGAAATTCCAACCCATTTTATTGTCGGTCCTTAAGATGTAGAGTTTTTGTCCCCATTATGGATTTTATCATCTGCTTTCCTGGTCACAAAAGCTGAGATCTATGATATATAATGAATGGGAGAGAAGAAAAAAGAGTCTTAAAAAGAAAAATCTTTTTAAAAATACACACAATTAAATTGTCAACACAAATTAAATCGTCCACTGCAACAGGAAAACTGAAGTTGCCAAATATTGTGCATCTACCTAGTGTTCTGTGGATGTCTTTGCCACGGAAGCTCTGAGTCTAAGGAAACAGATTGGATGGGTTAAGGTGTGTAGTCAGTTCCAAGAGGCCTTGGAGCACATGTTTTGAGGCTCTGAGTCGGGGTTGCTGTTCGTGGTTAGTTACTCCCAGGTGTGACCTGGGCTGTCACCCACCCAGGTAGATCCTGCTTCTTTCTAGACAGGTGCTGTAGTTTAAAAAAAAAATAGTGTTTCCGGGAACTTGACCCTAGAACAGTGGTTCTCAACCTTCTGGCCCTTTAAATACAGTTCCTCATGTTGTGACCCAACCATAAAATTATTTTTGTTGCTACTTCGTAACTGTAATGTTGCTACTGTTATGAATCGTAATGTAAATATCTGATATGCAGGATGGTCTTAGGCGACCCCTGTGAAAGGGTCGTTCGACCGCCAAAGGGGTCTCGACCCACAGGTTGAGAACCGCTGCCCTAGAAGCTTGTTCCTCACAGCCCCACTGCTCACATGGGACCCATGCCGGTTCCAGCCACCCTGTAAGGCAGCTCAGCCTGCTAATGAGATTATCTGCCTGGGGAATCCCTCTTTGGGTCCTATTTACACTGCTAGCTGAGGCAGGGCCGTAGTTCATTCTCCTTATCTGCAAAACGTCAGCACCTTTTCTAGAAACAGCAAGTGGTTTCCTTTTAAAACCAAACTTTGTTTTCAAAATAAAATTTCCTTTTCCCCTACAAGATGCATTTGGGGATTCTTTTCTTTTTAAAAAGTTTTGGGGGATCCATTTTGCAACTTATGGGGCATTTTTGCCCATGCATTGGTCTCCTTCTAGTTCATTCTCTTGCTCTCTCCATTAATCTTGATGACCTTCATTATGTATTTCTGGTTCCTGCAAGGAGGCTGCTGCAGGATTTGGCCTCAGGCTGCAGATTGGGAGTTGGGTCTTTGAAAAGAGCAAGGAGGGGGACCTGAGGTAGACCAGCCCAGACACAGGACTGACTCAGCTGCTTGGGTTTGGTTTTGTTTTGTTTTAACAAAGAGACAAAGGGCAGCCCCCTTGACGTGCACGGGCTTTCCCTGTGGCTGTACTTGGAGATATGTTAGTGTCCTGCGTGCAGGTGGGCTCTGGCCACATGTAACTTCGTTTTTCCATCAAGCACAACCTCTGGGAAAGGACTGCAGTCCGCTTACCTGCCCCGCTGTGCTCCAGTGGGCTGCATAGGTTTCCCGTCCTTGGTCTGTCTCCTGATCTTCTCAGCTCCCCCTCTGCCCCAGGCAACAGCCCTAACTTAGAGAGCCCACTGGGTCCATGCACCCTTTGAAGTTTTGGGCACGATTTTGTGTTTGTGGATGAGAGCATTTTTGGAAGAGAGAATCCATAGTTTTACACCAGATTCTCAAAACGAGTCACGAATTAAAATACACTGGAGAACGACTTGCCAGGTGAGGTAACCGTGACTGAATTGTCAGGCCCCGTCACTGTGGAGTCTCTCTCATCTGCAGCTGCTGCCTGATCTCTGGAGAGGACCGTCCTGCATTCCTCCCAAGGGGCAGTGAGGTCCCTCTGCACGAGGGTGGGGAACTGCTGACGTCAGGCAGGCTGCCCCCTGCCGCCCGGCAGTGCCCCGCTCCCGACAGCCCTGTCACTCACGCAGCCGGTGCCAAACACCATTAAGACTATACATCTGTGGCCAATGTAATGATATAGTTTAAGGCCTCATAAAATGACTTTGGCTCACTGGCTGTTCTGTATTAACCACACTACTGTTTCCCTCTCATAAGGGAAAGGGAGGTAGCCTTTATGAGGCAGCAGCTCTGGCTGTTTTAGTCGTGCTCCGAGTCTTTTCTCAAAGAAAAAGGGTGCTGGTGCTCTTGTGCGCTTTCTTGATTGTGGTCACACTGCCCTTCCTTCCGAGTGCAGCCGAAGGCAAGTGTCAGCTTGTACCACAGAAGGACAAGGAAGCCTGCAGTGGGTGAGGACTTGCCAGAAAACTCACCCAGGAGGAGAAAAGGCTGGCCTTCAAGGCCCGACGTGTACATTTTTAGTTTATGCGTTAGGAGGGCAGTGTCTTTCTCACTGAGAAAACCGGGGCTCAGCGAGAGTCAGCAGCCTTCCCCGGTCACAAAGGCAGCCTGCAGGAGGTGCAGCGTCTCTGGGTGTCTCTGATTTCGACACACACCCTTCGAGCCACCCAGCACAGGGAGTCACAAAGGAGTTACCCTGGCAGGACTTGAACCTGGGTATGCCTGGTTCTGAAGCCTGCACATTTCCAAATAAAGTTGGTGTTTTCGTAGGTCAAAAACACTTGAATATTGGTGACGGTATAGTTTAACGTGGAACAAGCATATAATGCACTTAGCGTTATGGCCTTCTGTCTAGTGCAGTGGTCAGCAAACTGCGGCTCGCGAGCCACATGCGGCTCTTTGGCCCCTTGAATGTGGCTCTTCCGCAAAATACCGACTTCTGCGCATGGGCCAGGAAGTTTCAATCGCACTGTATACTTC